CGAGATGGGGGGGGGGAGGGAAGAAGGGAGAGGGAGGTTAGAGACAGAACGAAATGTTTTTTGCAGAGGAAAAGCGGATGGGGGGAGGAGAAAAAGAGTCAAGTCCCTTCTCTCTTCATTCTCCATTCGGTGTCCCCACTCCTCCTCCACCGCCGGCGCCACCATTACCGCCCCCCCTCCGCGCCAGAGCGCTGGCCAAGTTCTCCAGTGGGGAAAACTCTCTTGCTAGGAGACGCGTCCCCCTCCCTGCCAGGAGGAGGGGCGGAGATTTGGGCTGCTGCAGCTTCGCTGAAGAGACCTGCATGGGAGTCGGGAGCAGAGCGTGGGTCTCTTCTGCTTCCCTCTCCAACTAATGCGCACGCACACACACACACACAGACACACACACACGTGCGCACACAGGCACTGCTGATGGAGAAGGAAACGAGCAGGGAACTAAGCAGGACCCAGAAGCAACCTGATGGGGGGCCACCTTTAACCTCTTTCCCAGGGACTTTCTTTCATCTCCAAACCTTCCAAGGTCCTGGGGAAGGGGCAGCGGCGGTGGATCAATGAGAAAATCTGGAAGAAGAAGCAGGAGCAGGACAGGGATCAATTAAGACTGGGGAAGGCCAGAATTCAAACCTTCGCTTGGCCATGAAGTGACCCCAGGCCAGTCAAAGACAGTGTTCAGACAACACGCTTAACCAGATAAAAAGCAAGCAAATGTAGTCATACAGCAAAGCAAGTTTGATAGGAGTTAACCTTGGTTAATCTAGCCCGACAAGCAAATGCTGCCTGTTTGTTTCCTGCATGGGTCAATGTATGCCGCACAGCCAGAAATGGGTTCATTCTGAATCTGGGTTGAGCACGCTGGGTGAATATAGCATTTCTGTCTCACAAATCTCATAGTGTTACCGTGTGGCTAAAAGGGGCAGGGGAGAGAATATATTAAGGTTCACACAACACTTTAAATTCAGGTTTTGAAAACATAGTTCTTGTGTTCACAACCAAACAAATGACTTCATGTATTGGCCTGGTTCATACAACATGCCAAGACGATGGCCAGCTTCCCAGGAAACGCCAAAACATAAGCTAACCACTCCATTTTAGCCTGATCTAGCATGCTTTGCAACCCAGTTTGTATGTAATCCTGCATATCTTGGAATAAAGATGGAATATAAAGGAAATGAGTGAGTGTGTATGCATTAATTTAAGCCATTCATTCCCAACCTGCCATCCTCTAGATCAGTGTTTCTCAACCTTGGCAACTTTAAAATATGCGGACTTCAACTCCCAGTACAGCCCAGCCAGCACGCTTCCCACAGTCTGTTGAAAACAGCTGGTTGTAGTGGCTGGTTTGCTTTTCCAAACTGGGAACTTTCTAGTGTATGGACTACAACTCCCAGAATTCCCCAGGCATGACTATTGTTGAACATTTGGGGTGCTGAAATCTGTACCCCTGGAGGTTGTCCAGGCTGGACAAAGGTGGTTCAGTAAGCTACGTGAATCCAGGTAATGGGGTTAGTTCCGTAAGCCATGATTTAACTTGCTAAATTAACTCTGGGTTGACATGTTGACAAGCACAAGAATAAAATAATATAGTTGTTAGTATTGATTTGATTGACAAGCTGTGTATCTACCCAGAAGCCACTTCCTGGCAACAATGACTATCAGTGAATTGTTTTCAGCACCCAAACCAAACCATCTGTAATAGCCAAACTCAACAGGTGTGGTTAGGACCTTCCTTCCTTCCTTCCTTCCTTCCTTCCTTCCTTCCTTCCTTCCTTCCTTCCTTCCTTCCTTCCTTCCTTCCTTCCTTCCTTCCTTCCTTCCTTCCTTCCTTCCTTCCTTCCTTCCTTCCTTCCTTCCTTCCTTCCTTCCTTCCTTCCTTCCTTCCTTCCTTCCTTCCTTCCTTCCTTCCTTCCTTCCTTCCTTCCTTCCTTCCTTCCTTCCTTCCTTCCTTCCTTCCTTCCTTCCTTCCTCAGGGGAAAAAGGAGGCCCTGAGCAGATGTTTCTTTCTTTCTGTAATGAAATGTATACACCATCTCAATCCAATTAAACTTCAGGTGGTTTACAGTATACATAAAACAATATATCAATATAACATGACAGGCTTACATTGATAGTTCTGGAATCAATCCAAAAGGCCTTTTGGAAAAAACAGACCTTTACAACTTTCTGGACAGCCATAAGAAGTGTGTTGGGGGGAGCATTCTCATCTTGGAAAGGTGGCCCTACAGAGAGCAGCCACCATCAGGCCCCTTCCAATCACATCTTCTGACCGGGGGGGGGGGGGGTAGGGGGGGAGGGGGGAGGGGGCTGAGCCTGAGTTCTCTGACTGTCCAGGTAGAGGAGGCAGAATTTATTCAGGAGAGGCAGTCTGTTAGACCACTTTTAGAAACCAGGCGCCAATAAATAAATAAATAAATCATGATCCTCATGCAATCTTCTCTGACCTGTGACCTCCAAACATATTGGGCTCAGGAGATTCAGTACCGCAAACAGGTTGGGATACACACTGAGGTTTGAAAGCAGAATTTCAGAAGCTAGATGCTCAAAGCCCAATCCCTGGATGAAGAGACCCACACATCTTCATTTCTGCTTGCTCCATTTTTAAACAGCCCATATTCTTTCCACCCAGTTGGATACATTAAGATGCAGGTTTATATCCTCCTGATCAAGCCCTGAACCCTTTCCTCTCCCACTTCATGATTAGCCCTAATTTTTCAATAGAAGAATTTTTCGTGGCACCTCAAGCAGAAACAAGCAACGTTTCTTCTTTTCTTCCAGAGTCTGCCCTTTTATTTCTTCCTTTCTTGGGCTTCAATGTTCACCTTTTTTGTTGGGCTTTGAAACTTTCCTTTTGCAAAATGGTATCCTTATTCCCCCACCCCTGAAAAAAAAAACCCTGCAAAAATTTGCAGTGCTGAGAATGAATAGAAATGGCTCACACTTTCCCTTCTGTGATTTGAGGACAGTAGACTCCTGAGATTGCAAAAACGGGTCTGGAAAGGCTAAGCATAGAATGGCTTCCTGAGATTGTTGCAATTGACTGATAGGTTAACCCCTCTGGGTTCCAGCACTTTCTTCTCATTGAGGTTGGGTTGGCAGTTGGGTTGGCATCAGTTGAGTTGGCATCAGTTGGGTTGGCGTCAGTTGGGTTGGCATCAGGAAGGAAGGAAACCATGTACCAAAGTCTCCACTGAGATGCGGTTCCCCTTCTCACATTTTACGAGGAAGGTGGATGAAAGTGAAAGCATGCACCATGAACGATTTTGTTCTTACAGCCAACTTAAAAGGCATTGGGATGAATTACTCCTATATTTCAGTCCAGGCAGCAAAGATTGTTGTAGCAAGAAGAATGGGGCAATCAATTAAGGAATAATAATTATGAGCTGAACTGAAAGCTGAGTGCAATGTAATGGGCTATAGATGGAATATTTGTTCTCAAAGGATGCTGTGCGTTCCAACTGCAATCACCATTTTGAAACATCTATATTTCAATACGAAGTTCCCATTCCAGGTTTCAGGGCATTCCTGTGGAAATTAATGGCTGTTTCAGGATGAAATCCAGAAACGATCATTCCCTCCCAGGCAATTATTACAAAGAATACCTCAACTGTGATTTTTTTTTTTTTTTTGAAATGGACTTTCTAGTGCAGATATGTTGAGATGGCAATGTCCAGAAATCTCTGCCAGCATGGCAACGGGGAATTCTGGGAATGTTAGTCCCAACATTATTTATTATGTTACACTCTGTTAGATTTACATCCTACTTTTCTCTAGGAGCTTAAGGCTTACGTGAATATCTTACACAAATTCTCCCAGGGAGAGTTGGAATTAAAGTGTCCGTACTCCTACCCAACAACTTCACCACTGAACTCCACTGGCTCTGCAGCTGAGAGGGAGGGACTGGCCCCAGGACCCCCTGGGATTTTCTGTGGCTGAGGGGGGACTAGAGAATGGGCCTGCTCACTCCTAGTCCAGCACCTTCACCACTACACAACACTGGCTCTGCAGCTGAGAGGGAGGACAGATTGGTTCAAAGTCTCCCAAGGAGCTGCTATGGCCAAGGGGGACTAGAACCTGGATCTTCCTGCTCCTAGTCCAGCACCTTTATCACTGTACCACCCTAGCTCTTGGGTTGAGAGGGAGAGATTGGTCCAAAGTCCACCAGGGAGCTTCTATAGATTAGCGGGGACCAGAACCTAGGTCTTCCTGCTCCTAGTCCACTTCTACTCCACCTTGGCTCTTGGGCTGAAAGGGAAGGGCTGGTCCAAAGTCCCCCAGGGAGCTTCTATAGATGAGAAGGTTCTAGAACCTGGGTCTCTCTCCTAGTAGACCAACCCCTTCACCACTACACCATACTGACTTCTATACATACCAGAAAACATTAAGTGGAAGAAAGCTGGAGAATAGGGCTATAGCCTCCCAAAACCTAAAGAAAGGACAAAAAGAGACTGGATTTGATATTAGCATAAGCATATCAAGACTGCTTAACCACACTTGATGGATGAACACATTCCAACTGGCTGGCCAAAGATGCACACATACCATCAGCTTGAGGGCCACACAAGGGTTTTAGGTGACATGTTGAGGACCACACTTCT